GAGGAAGAGAGAGAAAGAGATGAAGAGAGGGGGAGGGAGCCAGTCCTAACTGCAGACAGCCTCCCAGCCGAGGCGTGGCGAGGATAGGCTCCCGGACGGACAGTAGTATTCCAGGCAGGACAGGGGAGGGAGGGCCGGCCGCTCTTTATGGAACACTTCCCTGCACCCGGCGCTACATCCCCAGCCACGCCGATAAAAAGAACGGCCTCCATAACGCCAGATTCACACACCATACACACACTCTCACGCCCCCTCTCACATACTACCTTTCACACTCTCCCCAGCTACATCGCGCGTTATCCACCCACCCAACCACCCTCCCTCCTATCAACAAACAATCCAAACACGCACACACACACAAACGAGTAGACACACACACACATTCTCTCTCTCCCCTCCCAGACACCACGGTCAGCAACAAGCAGTGGACACAGGATACTCTAGGGATAAGGTGGACCCCGCCGTCCCTCACGCCCCCGTCCCCCAGCCACTGGTTTGATCTACGGCGTGTCTGAGCAGTGGGTGGAGACGCTCATAAAACACCGGTATAACCCACTGATGGCGGGAGGGGGGGGGTTGTTGTAGGAAAGAAGCAAGGTAAGAAGACTCTCACCAGTCCACCACTGTCAGGGGTACAAAGAAAAAGCCTACACGTTACGATGTGACCAACGACGAACCCTTGCTGTGTAAGTACGCAGCATGTACCGGACCTGTCAGCACCATCACCACCACCCTCACTAAGAGTGCCCCGACTCTCACTTGGCTCAGTCACGTCAATATTGTTGTTATTGTTTACTTTGTATCTGTATTTTTCCGGTAAAGTAAACTGTTTCAACATCAATGTCAACAAAACCACCAACACCACCATTATCACCACCACCACCCACCAAGACAGGAAGAGCCGTCAGCAGGTGCAGTAAAAAAGCACCAGTAAGAGGTAGACACACACAGCCACCAAGTGAACAGCTCTCGAGTCCTGGGTGTTAAATCTGCGGGTTGACTAAGTGAGACAACAGGCCGGGAGGGAAGTGCACCACCTGGATACAAGTCACACACACACACACACACACAGTTAGAAGGTCCTGCAGGGAGGTGTGTGGAGGGAAGGGAGGAACCGCCTACACTAACGAAGGTGGAATGAGGTTAAGGAGATAGTGGGGGAAGGAGAATTCCAGGAAGAAGTGGAGGAGTGAGATTACAAGCAGCAAGTGTATGAGAGGGGCAACGAGAGAGTGGGCAAGAAAGGAGAGGGAACAGGACCGAGATACAAAGGGACGAGGAGTGAGTGGTGAGGGCGAGGGATGAGTGGTGAGGGCAAGGGATGAGGCGAGGGATGAGTGAGATGGTGAGGGCAGGATGAGTATGAGTAGGGAGTGGGAGGCGGGGTGAGGGTGGGGGATGAGAGAGGGCGGGGGATGAGGAGAGGGCGGGGATGAGGAGGGAGGGCGGGGATGAGGGGAGGAGGGCGGGGGGATGAGGGAGAGGGCGGGGATGAGGGCGAGTGGGGATGAGGTGAGGGCAGTTGAAGGATGGTGGGAGATGAGGAGGTGGGAGTTGATTAGTTGATGTAGGTAGTTGTTGGGGGGTATGGGTAACAAATGGGTAACAATGGGGGTAAGGGTAACAATGGGGTGAGGTAATAGTAAATGGAGGATGGGATAAAAGTCGAGGAGGGAGGGTCTGAACAAGTGAGTGAAGTTGGAAAGGGGAGAATAAGCCTGGAGTGCAGTGAAGGAGGAGTGACAGAGCAAGGGGGAAAGAGACATGGGAGAGGGCACTGAGGGAGGACCGACCCGCATCTATACACACGTAGGGAAAATTACCCCAAACCACAATAGCTGATGATCACTCTAGTCTCGCCCCCTAACACTCCTCTCCATCACCACCTAACCTAACCCCCTAACATTCCTCTCCATCACCTAACCTAACCTAAGCTAAGCTATCCTGGTATACACAAGTAATTTCCCTCACTTGTCTGTTCCCTTGACGTATTATATCCTGTTTCAGCCCACCACACCGGCTACCCCTGCAGGACACGCAGCACCAAGGTCACCCAAGAATCAAGTTTTTCCACATTCCTATCATACGAAATAATTAAACAATACACTTCATGATGTAACAAAAATAAACAAATTCTTGGTGTTCTTACGTCTTTCTACAGCAGATGAATAACGAGCTTCTTTAAACCTTCAACGAGGAAATTAAAACATCCACAACGGACAGAATTTCTCACGTATTTCACCCAAGATGTTTTAAATACACTGATAAAATCTTTACTATCCGTTTTTATTTTATCTTTAAGAATTACACGCCAAGTCTCGACTGGTATAAAAAGTTAATCCTATTCAAGAGATATAAAAAAAAAACTCTGTCGACAGCTCCAGAAAATGACAAATGACTCCCTCACGTCCCCCCAAGGCTGGTATAAAGTAGAGAGTATATTACCTAGCAAAATACTACGCGTTTTTTATCCATTACCTACGAGACCCCACAACAAAGCATCCGGTCTTGATTACACGATCCTTAATCCACCGAGTCATAAACTATTCGTTCCGAGACTCTGCTGATGCGATAATTTCCACCAACTACCTTTTTACGACACAAACTTATCAATTATCACATTTAAATCCTGCCATGGAGTTGTCCTTTTTGGGGATCCTGTTATAACCTTGTATCAAAACTTTTTCCCCGACCCATGAAGCACTCGGTCATAAACTTACTCGTTCCTTGTGGCTGTCACTATAATTTTCACCAGGTTGTCTTTTTTTTTTTAAAGGACAAACATATCAATTACCACATCTAAATTCTGTATGAGCGTCCGTGAAGTTCATTACAATCCCCCATCATCAAGTCTCTAGACGGTCCTCTTCACGCGGTGCAAGAAACTCGTCTTCCCGACCCTTGTGTTTTTGTTTTGGTTTTCCTTCTTCCTCGCGTTGATTTATAGTGTGTGCTCTCTCTCTCTCTCTCTCTCTCTCTCTCTCTCTCTCTCTCTCTCTCTCTCTCTCACTAATACAATTATCTCACCTAGTTATCTCAAGCCATCCCCAAGAGAGAGAATTACGAACAAGACCAACAATCGCTATTTGACTGACTGCTATTTGACTGCGGAGAACTAGGCCAGTGTGTAGGTGAGAGCTAGTGTGTGACATGCTGCACTGCCAGTCCCTACAACGCCTGGCATCAAAGCATTAAGGACCCAGAATAACACACCAGCCAAGTGGGGAGGAAAAATCATACATCAGTAAATCGGTCAGGAAAGGTGGGTAGAGGGATGAAAGGATGGCCAGAAAAAAGAATGAACGCCGTGGAGAGAGAATAGGTTGGTGGGAGGTGAAGGAGAGAGTAAAAGTGGGTCAAGGAGAAGGAAGAGGGAGAGGTGGGAGGGGAAGGAGAGGGGGAAGAAGGGAGATAAGGGAGAGGGAGAGTAGGGGGAGGGGAGAGAATGAAGAGGTGGGGAATGCAGAGGGGAAACAAGGAAGAGGGACGAGAGTAAAAGTGGGTCGTGAGGGAAGAGAAGGGAGATAAGGGAAAGGGGAGAGAAGGGAGACTAGGGAGAGTAGGGAGAGGTATCAGTGGGTGGTAGGGGCATCACTGAGGACCACTCCAGATGGTATAGATAGGGTGTAGCCGTCCACTACCATACGGGCGTCCTCTTGTCCTCACGCCCACACTTACACCACGCCCCATGCCTACACCCTAACCACAACACTACGCCCACAACTTCACTACGCCCACACCTACACTACGCCCACACCTACAATACGCCCACACCTACACTACGCCCACCATTACAACATCACCACACTTATTACTACCATATAAAACGCCTACCATCGTCATGAACACCACCACATCACCACCATCACCACCACATCACCACCATCACCACATCATCACCACCATCACCACATCATCACCACCTCCAGACAAACCCTTAGTCTACAACACTTCCCCAACAACACGAATCAATGATGAGAAATATAATAAGGGGGTGGAGGGGGTGGGGTGGAGGGGGTGGCAGGAGGAGGGACGGAAGAGGCAGGGGAGGCGTGGGAGGGGGGAAGAGGGTAGCACAGAGGAACATGATTGGACATGTTAGACACGAGGGCGGCCGAGGGGACACACGAGCTGACGTGGCAGAACAAGAGGAAGCAAGACTAGAAAATGGAGGAACACTTGAGGGGGATACTGTACTACTATACCATAATGAATATGTGGGGTCATGGTCATCCAGATGGTCAGGGGTAACGATGTGGGTGGGTGGGTGGGTGGGAGGAGCATTGAAGAATGGGATAGCAGCTGGAAATGTGGAAGGAAAGGAAGAAAATGAGGCAACAGAATGAAGAGAGAAGGATAACAACAAATAAAAAAAAAGTATGGGTTAGAGAAGAGGCAGAGAACATAACAAAAAGAAAGAGGATAATGCAAGACGAGTTATATTTTTATTCCAAACATTTGTCTCCTAAAAAAATTAAAATAAATAAATAACAAAAACAATGAGTCCTAGTGTTTTGTTGTGGTCTACTGAAGCACGCTGTCACCATCAACCCTTTAACGTGCTTTACTTTTATTTTTTTTTGGAGGGGGGGAGGGGGTACACTAACTGGACCTTATAATACAACAACAAGTCAAGGGGGAAAAAATCACATTTAATATCACATATAAGGAAACACTCCACCAACGACGATGATCCTCAGGGAGACATAATCACCTGCTACCTGAACCAACTCCTCCAATACACTGCAACACAATTTCAATTCCATATTCAAACAAATTATAATTCAGGTGTCTGTTAGATGTCACCTGTGTAAATTGACTTCTGACCTAACGTGAGAGTTGTGGGAGTGAGGGTGCCGGCAGGGGCAGTGTTGTGACCTAGACACACACACACACACACGCCTTGCTGCCCAGTGTTGGTCACGAGGAAGAGGAGGAGGAACATAGTACAATTTAAGTGCGGGCTAATTGAACGTAAATAAAATCGAGAGTTGACGTACCCTTGTGGTGGTGAGGACGAAGATGTGACCTCCGGCAGCGTCCAGCATCATGTCAGGAAGGATACGTTTGCCGGCATCGATGGTGTCTTCTCCATACTCAGCAGCGTCCTCGGGCCCCGCCAACAGCGCCTGCAAAAGAAAATAAACTTGTTAGTGACACTTTACTGGCTGGTGCTCTCTCTATACAGGTAAATCAAGGTAGAGATAATTAACACAATTCATAAGAGGTAGGTGTAACAGATGTATATTATAGTGTATACCATTCAGGCACACACACCGGGAAGGTCGCTGGGGAAGACTGAACTAACTGTAATGCAAAGGTAAGACAATAAACTAAGAACGAAAATAATTGCTGACTACATCATTTCTATTTACATCCCGGAACTGAGGACACCTTGAGCAAATCTCACACCAACACCCTACACAGAATAGAGACCTGTTGTCCTGTCACGTCAGCGGGTGTAGTGTCTGCTGTTGGGGATTTATGGTGAAAGCAGTAAGGGGTCACTCCGCCTTCAACCGTCCTGTTGTAAGTCGGCCACGGTGGGGATAATGTGTGTGTGTGTGTCAGGGTCCACAAGGCTCCGGGGTGCGTGTTAAGTGACAAGCAGCCGCAGCAAGCAAGGCAATGTCACCTGATGCATGTGGGAGCCTATACTGGACCTGTCGGCCACGAGACACGCCACCCAACACCACACCCACAACCATCCTGCTGGATCTTGTTAAGCTTCACTCCCCCTTCCCACACCACAACTCACGACGAATCGAAGTCTTAAGGAGGATAGGTTTAATTGAAGACGAAAATAAGTACACAATGACCTTCGTTAAAAATAAATTCCGCTTTTCCTTCGCCAACACCCAACTTATCTGATACATTCATCACGATCAGTCAGTCAGTCGCGAAATTTTGTTCACGTCCTCAGTGGTCCACACACAAGGCGAGACCCATGACAACAAACAACTAAAACCAATGATCTTAGTAGTCCTATTAATTTATTTGTTTTTCTTCTATCTCAGTCAAATATGTAAGTAGTTGCCACCTTGTAGTCTGTATTATTTTTCGTAAGAGAGAAACATTCACACCTGGTATAATACTCGCCATTATATTTTTTCCAGGTAGTAATGACAGAGGTTGGCAGCAGCGTGAAGCAGCGCGGGCCTCAAGGATTAACTCGGAGGTGGGAGGGAGGGAGGGATGGAGGCTCACTCAGCTGGAACACTCCTCTAATGGTGGCGCTCTCGACTTTCTTCCAGAGGCCACATTTGTCGCGGGCCGCACGTCATGGCTCCCCCACCAGGCCATGGCCCCTCGCACCACTGCTATAGCCTCATCTTGCATAAGTAATCGTCTTTCATATATCCTCCTCCTCTTTATTATAGCCCTGTCTTAGCTCTCCTTTATCATCTCCCCCATTACCAACACATCCTTTCTATACCATTAAGATAACAGTCTTCCTTTATCCTTTACTACACAGGGAAATTCGTCTCTTTCTCCCAGCATCACCGTCTTCATACATCCTCTCCTCGTCACTTAACGGCTCAGTGTAGGCGTAAATGTTCTTATCAAGATCCTTTTAGCAAGATTCCGTCTACCTCTCCCTCTCAGTGATGCAAATACACGCTTCTCTAACACCCTCTTCATCCAACCACCATAATCTTCTTCATCAGAGCGTTAGCCTCTCGAGGTCCCCCTGGCAGGTGAGACAGGGCTTAATAATGCACTCAGGTGGTCCACTAGCATGATTAATGTCGTCGTGTTCCCTCACCTAAGTCATCCATCTCGGGGTGGCTGGCGAGGTGCTGACACCCCAACACACCCCTTCCTCTCTTACTTAGTGCCGTCAACAACATAATTTGGCAAAATCAATAACGTCCAAGAGGCAATAACCAGAGACCTGCGACGTTAAACAACCCTTCAGGCCCTCTCCCAGGTCCTTCAGGGACTATCATAATGCTCCACATTCACCTACTCACTGGCCCTCATCTGGCCATTACGGTGTCCCTGCCACTGCTCCTCATCCTGGCCCACATTGGCCCTGACCACTGGACAGCCCCTCATTGAGCCACATAAAGGGGACGGCCACGTCGTCACAAAAGACCCACTAATAGCCGTGAATTAAACTCCACTTGCAGGGCGATATTGACAACCGGACAATTTACTACCTCGACCATGCAATTTGGTGGCTGGGCTGTGTGGCCAGTACCTAGAAAACCTGGATCATCATCCCTCCCTTCCTCAGGTACTGTCGCCGTCACTCTCTCAGGGTGCCACTCCCCACAGAGTACTATCACCCCCCCTATACCACTAATAAATTCAGTGTATCATTATTCTCTGGGGCCTTAAACTCAGAGGTAACAACCCTGGGTGCTCTTAACCCCAAGATACTAACAGTCCCTAAGTGCACACAATCACTGGGTGAACATAATCTCTTGGTGCACACAATCAATGGGTGCACATAGATCCTGGGTGCACACAATCAATGGGTGCACATAGTCCTTGGGTGCACACAATCAATGGGTGCACATAATCACTGGGTACACACAATCACTGGGTGCACACAGTCCCAGGGTGCACACAGTCCCAGGGTGCACACAGTCACTGAGTGCACACAGTCACTGGGTCCCACCTGTTTCATTGGGTATTCTCCACCTCAGGATGTTAACATTCCTCTGGTGTCTACAGCAGAGAATGTCACCACTCATCTGTGCCCTGAATCTCTGTTAAACCATGATGCTAAGGTGCTACTCGTAAAGTAAATATGTCACCCTTAACCTAGGGAGCTCGTCTACCCTGGTGCGACCACTAACATTCCATTGGCTTACAGTTCAAAAGGGTAGAGTAAACAGACAAAGATCACCTATTAAGTAGAGAATTACGATAAACAAACACGCCAGCTGACTCTTCACACGCCGCCACGCCATCAAAGAAATATTTTCCCACCGAATCTATTTCAAAAGCTAAACACGAAAGATGTGCTTTGGTCAAACTTCCAATGAGGCTTGTGGAATGGAATGCCTTCCCTCCCCCCCATGCATGCCCTCCACGTTCCCCGCGAGTCACAAAAGCCAAGAATCTTTAAGACTCTCAGGAGTGAGTCACCGCCCAGACAGGAACCAGGAGCTGCAACACTCGAGACACGGAAGAAAAACTGGGTCGTAATCTGGCAACTCCTGATGATTGATTTATTGTGTCTCAAGAGCCGATGGTAGTGTACCTCCCGCCCGCCCATGACAATTCATTCGCCCACTCTCGCCCGCCCGCACCCACCCACTCCCAAACGCTTGCACTGTACTCACTCGCTCTCCCACTCCCACACACCCTCCCACTCCCACACACCCTCCCACTCCCACACACCCTCCCACTCACCCCCCACTCCCACACACCCTCCCACTCACCCCCCACTCCCACACACCCTCTCACTCCCACTCACTGACTCACGGGCGTGATTGAGAATTGTAGGAGTATAGGTGTGAGGGAAAGTAGAGGGATTATGAGGGAGAGTTGAGGGAGTGTGTGGGTGTGTGAGGGAGTGTGAGGGAGTTGAGTGAGGTGAGGGAGTGAGAGTGAGGTGAGGGAGTGTGAGTGAGTTGAGTGAGGTGAGGGAGTGTGGGTGTGAGGGCGAGTGAGGGTATGTGTAAGGGCGAGTTAAGGGAGAATGAGAGGGTGAGGGTGAATAAAAGATGAAGAGACAGTTCATACCGAGTCTCACTATTCAAGCTTAAACCCTCCTCCCTCCCCTCTCTCTCAGGCCACCAACAGGCGCCCCTCTCCCTCACCAGGCGCCCCTCTCCCTCACCAGGCGCCCCTCTCCCTCACCAGGCGCCCCTCTCCCTCACCAGGCGCCTCTCTCCCTCACCAGGCGCCCCTCTCCTTCAACAAGCGCCCCTCTCCCTCACCAGGCGCCCCTCTCCCTCACCAGGCGCCCCTCTTCTCCCCCACCAAGCCCTCCATCACATATTCACTACGGACCGCTGGACTCGGACAATCATTAAGGCTCCATCAGCGCTCATCGGTCCAGTTCCGGTCCACGAAGTCCAATGAAACGACCTGTATCTGCGGTCGTCCTGCTCCTTTCTGACCTAAAACGGGGCCATCATGTACGCCATCATAGCCACCCTGACCTGTAACTGTGGTGTCAACGGCCTGTATATGGCCCACCTGTAGCTTACATGTAGTTCGGTGTTACAGTGCATTAGAGTCTTCCTGTAATCTCTCTGTAATCTGCTCATAATTCTTCAGTTACAGTGCATTACAGACCGGTTATAACCCCCCCCTTTGTAATTATCTTTGTTACAGTCTGGTTATAACTCCTTTGTATAATACCAATTACCTTTGTGTTACAGTCCGCTTTTAATGCCCTTTGTAATCTGCTTAGAACCCTTGTGTTACCATCTTACCCCCCCCACACCCTCCTGTACCTGGCTCGTGACCCCGTTATAGCAGATGAGTGACACCAGGTGTAATTTGTCCAGAGGTGCGAGAGCGATAATTGCACCCGGGGGCAAGAGTGGCACCTCTGACCACGGCACTGGGCCATAAGGTTCACTCAAGCACCGACCTTCCAGAGGAGTCCCGACCTTCCAGCGGGATGTGGGGGAGCATGTTGTTGTCCCGACAAAGGCGTGACTATTGACTGTCAGGTCATTACAAGACAAAACAGCCATATTGTGGAGGGGTTATCATACCTTCCCCCTTTAACCCCTTCCTCCGTCCCCCCCTCCCCCTTCTTCCCTCCCACCTTCCTTCCTACCCACTTCCCTCCCTCCCTCCTCATGCTTACGCCACATAAACAAACTAATCAATAAAATACGTCAAAATATATAGTAAATATCGTGACAACAATCAAAGTAATCGTACAATATTCTCAGAAGTTATCAAATTTAATGTTCGAATAACACTCACATTTAAGAGCAAGACTTCCGTAATATATCAAATACGTAAATCAAATCCAACTTTATAAGGAAAATATCCGTAAATGACGTACTGATGAATGCAAAATATACTCAGAAAAAGTCATCATTATTGCTATCAACACACACACACACACACACACACACACACACACACACACACACACACCTGCCGATATACACGAAACGGAACACACGAAATATACTTAATTGCCCCC